TACAGATCGTTCCGAGAATAAAAATTCAAAAACGGAAAAACATCCACATTTAAGTAACCATTTAAAGCCTTGTACAAAAATGTAACATCAAAAAGATAACGTCTCTTTTCAAGTGAAAGCAAATTGAGACATTTCAGGCGCTCGTCACAAGTAAAATTCCTTTTTCCGGGAATTAATTTTGTTCCCCTCCGCTGTATGCGCTCAAGCTTTTCAATGTTTCTCTTGGTATGTGGCGACTACACAATTGTTCCATATCCCACTTGCGATCTAACCAACGTGCAGTACAGCATCTTCAGGGTTTCGGTGTCCTTCCAGCCTCTACAGGTTCTTCTTAGCAGGTCCAAGAATCTATTAACTTTATTTGTAATAGGATCAACATGAGAGTTCCAGGAAAGTTGATGGTTCATAAGCAAACCTAGGTCGCGAAATTCATAAACTTCCTCTATGTCAGATCCGTTTAGGGTGAAGCTAGATCTGAATGGTTGTTTCTTCCGGGTAATGCGCATCATCTTGCATTTCTTAACATTGAAGGTCATCCTGTTCCGTTGAATCCAAGCGCACAGACTACCCTTGAAACATCATTAGGTCATTTGGACAGTTTACACCCTATACGCCTTGCAGTCATCTGCATAAAGTGCCACAGCGCCTTCTTGGACTACCTCTGGCAAATCACTGATGAAAATAACAAAAAACAAGTGGCCCAAAATGGACCCTGCTGCACGCCAGATGTGATATTCAGCCAGCTAGAACTTTTGCCATCCACCACAACTCTCTGCTTACGACACGATAGATAATCGCCACACCCATCGCCCAGAATGACGCGACATATCCGGGACCTTAAATTGCACTCTGAGCGATAAAGAAAAGAACGTCAGCGAACCGTGGTCAAAATAAAGAGAAAATTGTCCAGAGCGACTCGCGTTTTTCACGATTTTGTCCAAACTACTGACAAATGATTACTGTCAGCTTATGGCTTTTCTAGAAGAGACATCAATAGAAAATATTTAACCATTATTGACCTTCTCATCTTATTTACGTGTCAGCATATGGTTTTGTTAGCCTAACACTTAAGGAAGCCTCACAGAAAGCTTGGTACGATTTCGTAGCTTGGAAGTTCTGGTTTTTCGTCAAACTCTAAACCTACTCCTGCTTGATCTGTTCCTTTTGTCCCGAAAGAAGTTCCGAAGAAGTTCCGACTTCGTTTGAAACTCCCACGTGAATATTAATGCTGCCTAAGGCTCCACCTCCCCGAAACATAAGGGCTTGTGCCGAGACAATAGTGTGTTTAGCGGCGCAATTAACCATTGAAACTGAGGTGTCTTTCATTAACGCATTTGTTGTTGATGCGTTGCCAATGACAACGACAACCTAACTTCTTACTTCCACAAGTTCAGCTTTCATTCGCCTAAACCCTCTCCAACTGTGACAGCGGTGACAAAAACTTGGGAAGTTTCCACTTGAAAAATGTGCTCCGTACAGGAAATGCAGCCTGTTGATCGGAGCTCTCTTTAGAGCTCATAGAATCCCCGATCAACCCTGCTTTCTTACACATTTCAACGCCGTTAATAAACGACCGCAACCCGTTGTTTTCAAGTAGGTGGATTGGCTCTTTGGGAGTGGAGGAAGCTTGAGAGCCCTGGCCTTGCATTCGATGCCCTTCAGCAAAACTTGTCCAGGGTAGGATATCGCTTGTCTCCATGTTCGCGAACTCGCGTGGGAAAAGTCGTTTACATTTGAATGGATTATATCATAAAGAAAACTAGCGATCCCAGGATTTCCAGTCAAAAGCGACAAACGATTAGATCAAAGTACTGGTGTCACATTGCTATCCATTCTCATGAAATTATTAACCGACCAGAAGAGGTAATTGACGTGCTGAAAAAGAAAGAAGAGCTGCTGATGACAGAAAACCAGAGATTACGAGATGAGCTCGAAGGTACGGTAAAACTTTGAACATAACCTTAAACTCTAGAATTACGGTCTTTTCGTCCAGAAGTGTTTTCGTCCAAGTCTTTTCGTCCAAAAGTATTTTCACAAAGTCTGTTCGTTTACTTGTTAAGTCTTTTCTCGATGCAAATAAATAACTTTTAGAAGGATAGATAAGAACTTTTTGCGAGCCATTCACGTCGTGATGTTACCCTTCGTTGCCCTTTTAGGCTCAATAGACGATTAACAACAAGCCTAATATTCCCATTTCTTTCGCGTGAAATAGTTTTAGTTTTTTTTTGTTTTGTTTTGTTTTTCTTTTACCAACTTTACCGGGTGTGACTAGGCCCGGAAGGGCTAGTGCGAACGGAACACAAGGTCCATGCGAGGCACCACCCCTCCCCCCAATTCACCCTGGCTAGACACTGCAAAACAATAGACCACAACACCGGACACTACGTGCCTTACTCTTTTCGAGCTGTGGGTTCTTTAACGTCCCACAAATTTAAATCACATATAAAGACTCGTGAGACGGGACCTCCATTTATCGTCCCTATCCGAGAAGACTAGAAAGTCTAACCGTTTGCAGTTATTATTACAAAGGGAGCACTTTCTACTCAGTTATTTAAAGACCCTGAGTGTTGGTCCGGCCGGATTTGAACTCTCGACCTCCCGCACAACAGGCCGGCGCTATACCAATTGAGCTAACCGGAAGGTTATTAAACGGCAAGCAAGTCTTTACTTTTGCCACTATTTAATAAAGTATATTGCGTTACAACTTCATTCATTCTCTGTGTATTTATCGTAAAATTCCTGACGTTGAATTCGTAAACGAAGATTGGTGACTTAAGGTATCCGTACCAAAATGGCGGCGGCTCGCAACAAGTTCTTTCTATAGCCTTATCTAACCTTCTAAGAGTTATTTATTTGCTTCGAGAAAAGACTTCACAAGTAAAGGAACAGACTTAGGTGAAAATAGTTTTGGACGAAAAGACTTGGACGAAAATAGTTTTGGACGGAAAGACTTGGACGAAAAGACTCTCGGACGAAAAGACCGGACACCAAACTCTATACTACTCCAAAAGTAATGCACAACTCCACAAGCATGCATTTACCTTTAACCATTGATCGTGTTCAAATAAAGGATTTTACTTACTTATTTACTTAAAACTAAGGTTTCTTTTAGTTAAAATCATTTTTACTTCTGGATTTGTTTATCTATAAAAATGTGTGGGAAAGAAGAACGATAATCTGAGAAGATACTTTTATAGAAAAATAAATCGTTGGGACGCTGCAACAAATCTTCTACTGCCGTTAGAAAAGCGCCAAGAAGAGCTAAGAAAGTACGGAAGGGGAAAACGGGATTACGTGAAAAGAAAGACATCATTCTGGAACGAGGGAGGTAAACAAGATGCAGCAAAAAAGGTGATAAGGATATCGACCACTCCCGTGATGACTAGCAACGAGCAGACCAAAAGACCACACTACAGTCATGAACAACTAAAACAAATGAAGACAGCTGAACTGCTTGCCCTCCTTGCTGAAAAGACAGCTACAAAATACAACAAGAGGACAAGAAAACAAGATTTAATCGAAGCATACATTGCAGCCCAGGCGTCAAGTTAAGACTAAATTTAAAACAGCTCCCTTTGGAGCTAAAAATCCTGTAGGTCTAAGCGTGGCGTTGAATATTGCACTCGTACAGGACCCAACGGCTCCTTTAGGAGCCGTTGGGTCCTGTCATGCAGCTGCAATTCACGGTCAAGCACACTGCTATCTAGCCAAGTCTCCGTAACAGCCACAATGTCAAATGAATCAGACATAATACACACAGAGAAAATGTGTAGTATTAGTCTCTCATTAAAATTATCTTTTTTGATCCTTACATCTTCTTTGAGTGTTTTACACAGTTGTGCGGCTTAGATGGAGTAGTCGTCACACTCATGGTTAATCGTAAACATATCTCCTGGGTAAAATCACAGAGTCCCAGGGGATTTGTTCCAATGTACTCCTGAGACCATCAAAGTCAGCTTTACTCATTGATTGAAGATGGCGCATGCCGAAACATGTCTCTCAAAAAAGTTGTCTATTTCTTACAAAATTTATCATACTTGCTACTACTACGACCTTATGGAAAAGTCAGCTTTCTTGTAACAATAGACTTTCCTATTCACATTCTTTTAACGTTGGAAATTCGCATTAATAACAAAAGATACAGGAAGATGATCTGAATTAAAACTATCTGGATGGACAGAGACATCAGAAACAAGATGTTCATTATTCGTGAGAACCAAGTCAAGAATATTTCCAGAGTCGGTTGAGTTGGCTGAATGGCGAGTAATATTAGAGTCAACTTGAAGAAGAAAGTAATCTTCAATCAAACAACAAAAGTCCGCTGTATCTGTGTCAGAGACGGTGTACCGGTACGCCAGTCTATAAAAGGAAAATTAAAATCTCCCACAACAACCAGATTAGAAATATTTGTAGATGAATAATTGTTCAGAAAGGCCCCAAAGTTTGCCGAGAAGTCCAAATCATAATAACTATGTCCAAATTGTTCCCAGGTGGACGATAAAATACCGAAAACAAGAAGCAGAAAGCGGTTCTTGTGTAAATAAGACAAGCCAACATTTCCATATCTGTCTCAAGGTCCCTCCTTCTAAAACAAGTGAGGTGAGATTTGATAGCAAGTATCTTGATATTATAGCCATGCAGCTGCAATTCACGGTCAAGCACACTGCTATCTAGCCAAGTCTCCGTAACAGCCACAATGTCAAATGAATCAGACATAAGCAAGGCTTTAAAAATCTAACATTTTGTTTCGTAAACTCCTGGCATTGAGAAGTAAGCATTTAAGGCCCGTGCAAACATTCGCAAGAAAACGCAACATTGTTGAGCTAAAATTGTTGTCTCTTGTTGCGCGATGTTGGCCGGTGTGTGCAAACGCTCGCAACAAGTCACAACATTATGTTGGGTCTTTAGATGAGAATACAAAGGATTCTGGGAAACAAATACCCACAATTCCATACACTCCACTGTTTGTTTCATTCCCGCCAAGTCAGCCATTTTGAATCATGGCTGAGTATCTTGTGCACTTAAAACAACTCAAAAAGCGTAAATGTCTAGCAGTCTTAATTCTAAGTGAAGTACTTGATGATAGTGGGGATCAAAAAGTGCGTCGTGGCAAAACCAGACAGTGGATTAGACGACGCAACGAAAAGGGACACTTTGAAAACATCGTGAAAGAGCTCATGATCGAAGATACAGCAGGCTACAAAGAGATGATGAGAATGAACCACGACGATTTCACTACCATTCTGGGCATTATCGAGCCTTACATAACACGAAAGCAAATTCTTGATGGTACGAAAATGATTAAAGCACCAGAAAGACTGACACTGGCAATACGATTTCTGGCAACTGGGGAAACGTATCGTTCTTTGAGTTTCCAGTTTCGTATATCTGTGTCAGCAATTTGTTATATTGTGAGGCAGGTATTGAATGCCATGAAGGAGCATTTCGTTCCCAAGTATGTCAAGATACCTTCTACTGACGAAGAATGGATGCAGATAGCAGACAAGTTTGAACAAAAGTGGAACTTCCCCAACTGTGTGGGAGCTGTAGATGGCAAACATGTTGTAATGCAGTCACCGGCTAATGCAGGCTCACACTATTACAACTAAAAAGGCACCCACTCAATAGTTTTAATGGCAGTTGCAGGGCCTGATTATGAATGTGTTTATGCTGATGTTGGGACTAATGGACGAGTGTCAGATGGAGGTGTATGGAACAAGTGTGAGCTAACTAAAGCCATTGAAGATGGAGCAGTTGTTCTTCCACCACCAAAGTGTCTTCCATTCGGGGTACAGAAGCTACCATACGTCTTTGTTGGGGATGATGCATTTGCATTAAAGAAGCACATGATGAAACCATACCCTCAACATGGCCTGACAGAAGACAAGCGGGTTTATAACTACAGACACAGCCGAGCTAGAAGGATTTCCGAGAATCTCTTCGGTATACTGGCCAACAGGTGGCGTGTATTCAGATCTGTTTTTCTGCTGCCACCAGACACCATAGAGCTATTAGTATTCACAGCTCTTGGTCTCCATAATTTTCTATGGCAAAGCTCATCTTGTGTCACCTATTGCCCTGAAGGATTAGTGGATCAGGAGCAAGATGGTCAAGTAATCCCTGGTATCTGGCATCAAGAGCCTCCTGCAGGGGCATTTTCTCCACTTAATGTTCCGTCAACAGGGCATAATGCTTCTATGGATGCCAAGTCAGTGAGGGAGACCCTTAAAGAATATTTTTTCAGTGAAGGTTCTGTTGACTGGCAATGGGATATGTGCTGAGTCTTGCATGAAAGGGAACTGTAAATTACTCAGTGACTTGCATCAATGTAATCGAGCTTTGGGGGTTAAATAGGATTAATTTAGACTGTTCTGGATGAGTGATAGTCACTGTCACCTCTCATCCAAAACAGTCTAACAAAGAGCAAATACAAATGATACAACTATGAGATGGTACAAGTAACAACTAGATTTTGTTTCATAGATTAAGGGAAATCTGTTCTTTCCATTTTAGCACTTCATTTTACATGTATACACAGTGAGTTATCTGAATTCAATACCCTTTTCAGAACAGTGCTACTGTAAAACTGATTGGTCTTGTTGCAATTATGTGCAAACAGCCTAATATACTTGGTACTACCATCATCTTAAAAAGACAGTTCTGAACACTTAAGGGAAAAGTGACAGATTGTAATTAAATAGCCAGCAAACTGATAAAGTGACTTTTTTTTTACCTAACTATCAATTGATAAATACCTTTTTATCTCCTCAAAAAATTGATAAGTCACAAGAGAAAATGACCATTCTGGTGAGTTTTTTTTAAGAAAAAGTTTTCAAAAATGAAAACAGTTGTCAGTCAGCAAAACAAAAGAAATGTTGGGACTTGTTGGCTCTGAAGTTTGACCAGTTTCAAACTTCATCCAACAACATCCAACAATTCGCAACAACACGCAACAACACGCGACATGGTGTGCAAACGCTCACAACATGTTGGTCCCAACAATGTTGCGAGCGTTTGCACGGGCCTTTAGGATACTTATTTTGTCGTTCCCGTGTACCAGAAATATTGGATCCGTCACATGCATCATTCTCTAAAATATTCTCGGTAGGCTCCAGTGAGCTTGACTCGGCGAAGAACGAGTCAAAGAAATTTGGCAGGCCACAATCACAGCAGCATCAGGGAGCATCCGAAGACGCCAATCAATTGTAGATTATATGGCTCGTTCCAATACATTTAATGTGATGTCAATAACAACATTCTTCGCATAATATACCCTTTTGATTGCTCTTGACTGGCTTGTCGCAGACTTTGCAAGGGAATTTATATTTCGATTCAGAGTTCGAGCCAGATCTTGCATTCGAGACAGGATCATCGGCCTCCACCTGATAACCAGGGTTAGGATGAATATCGGTTTAAATTTTAACCAATTTACAGCAAACAGTTTATGTCTTTCACTTGTGGTCACCAGAAAAAAAAAAAATTTTGTTAATTTTTACGCCTAACGGTTAAATTTTTCGGCGTTTTTAAGGCTAATGATTGACGCCCATCGAGACCCTCTTCTTGTCGTGCATCTCTTCAATAGGAACTTTCAGTAACTCCTGTTTTTGTTTTTTTGTTTTTTTTTTGTTTATGCTTTTTGCAACGATGGGCATGGATCGAGGAAAGCGTTGTTCCCGCCAAATACAACTTTTAGCAATTTTCATCACTTATTTCTATATAGTTA